CTTTCTACTTGTGAAGCAGAGTACGTGGCTGCAACCTCATGTGTTTGTCATGCAATTTGGCTTCGAAATCTATTAAAGGAGTTAAGTTTACCACAAGAAGAGGCGATTAAGATTTGTATTGATAACAAGTCTGCAATCGCGCTAGCAAAGAATCCTGTTTTCCACGATAGAAGCAAGCACATTGATATGCGTTATCACTACATCAGAGAATGCATCGAAAGAAGGGAGATACAAGTGCAGTACGTGAAGTCTCAAGACCAAGTTGCAGATATTTTTACCAAGCCACTGAAGAGTGAAGACTTTATTAAAATGAGAAGTTTGCTTGGAGTCACAAAATCAAGTTTAAGAGGGGGCGTTGAAATATAAACTTGGTTTTAGTTGTTTAAATAAAGCTTAATTTCTATAAGCTTATTCTAGAATATGTGGTAGGTATGAAATTATTGTGTAGTAGGTGTGGTAGGTGTGGTAGGTGTTGAATTATTGTGTGGTAGGTGTGGAATTATTTGTAACCATTGGATTATAATTGTGGTGGCACAATCCTAGCCATTAATTTAGGAGGTGCCACTAGTATAAATAGGGGTGGAGTCTTTGAGTTTGGATCAAGCCAAGTAAAGGTGATAAAGAAGAGTAAAAGCTTCTTCCATAAGTTGTGTTTTTAGCCTTTGTCATTTCCTAAAAGCTTCTCCATTCCAACACAGATCGTTTAATCTGATAGAAATTAAAGATAAAATCATGTAACAACACTCAATAGAGTAAATTCTTTAATCTACGAATCATTCCTTAACATGCAATAATGTTTATGATTCGGATGTAAATAAAAAATGCAGTCCAATCTTCAATGCAATGAAAGCATGTCACACTTACAACATTAATCTCCAGAAACGAACCATAAAGATATTATTTTATCAAGATTTTAATTGTACTATACTTAATAATTTCAGTCTTTTCCTAAGTTCTAATTATTCAATGGCTAACATTTACCAAAGGATCACAATAAATTCTATGTAATGCCAAAAGATTAGCTTCACTTGGTTGCATTGTCCACAAACACACAATAAATCATTCAGCAAAACTGATGAGAAGACAAACAAGGCTACATATCAATGCATTCCAGTTTCTAAGGAAGGACTACAATAAGTCAAAGCAAATGCACAGAAATCAATAACATATCCTTGCACAACATTCCAATACCAAGCAACTTCATTTCATTAAAAGAAAAAAAAAACAAATATCTAAAACTTCTAAAACAATGTAAAGGTGCAAAATAGACATAGAAACTGTAACTAAATTCAGTTGTTAATCACTTTATATTTCCTAAATATGATAGCAGAAAGTCAATAATTATTAATACAACCATACTTTTGAAGAAATGTAGGTATTAGCAACATCACTACAGCATTAATATGTACTTGTTCAAGTGTATGTACGTACTCGTGTGTGCACAGATCATAATAATCTTGAAGTGTGGATAAAAGCAACTCGTTTAACCACATTATTAACCTAACAGTCATAATCAGGTGAATAAACTTTTTCCCTGATTTTCAGTCATGGCATGAAGAAGCGGTGTCACAAAATTAGCTGGGCATGAATTAATCCCATAATTAAAATATATACATAGAAGGGACAAAAAAGATAATTATCTAGCATTCACATTTAGTTAGTTGAATGCATTATTTTCTTGAGTTTCTATAATGGTATGAATAAGCGCTGTTTAAAGTCACAAAATTAACTAAGCAAGAATTAATCCCATAATTAATATATATATATATATTATATATTGTTATTCAAAATTTTAGTATAGTGCATGCATATTGAGATGTCACCTTTATTATTTGATCAACCAAATTTTAATTGGAGAAACGCTCTAGTTGAGATGCAAGTCACATTAATAGTCTAATGGTGTGTGTGTGTGTGTGTCCATATATATATATATATATATATATATATATATATATATATATATATATATATATATATATATATATATATATATATATATATA